TTTCTGCAATACATTTTACAAACAATAAAGATCATCTGTTCTGTTTTCGTTTTTCCCATGCCATGCGCCTGCGGGTGGCTACCGCCAGGCTACCGCTATACAGCCAAGGAGTGGCGGGGCGTGGCGCTCAATCTATTATCCCACGCGCTGGGCCGGGCCCCGCCGGGCTCGCCCATACACACATTATGATATCAAATATCACGCACAGATTATCGCTTTGGGGTGCGGCTGGCGGGTCGGAGGGAGGCGCGGCGCAGCGCACAGAGGGAATTGATGTCATGAATTATATTGGTCACATTTACTTTTGAGCGGTTTGATTACCCCCTGCATCATTCATAGGCCCGCTATATCTCTCGCGCTGTTTGCGGCGTTAAAGCGGCTACGGGGAATGAATTTGCAAAAACATTTAGATTTATAACGTCCCACAGCAGTCCGTTTTCACAAAATCGCAATACTTGTTTGAACGGGGCGGGGAGGGGAGGGGGGGGAGCAGCCGGGCCGGGCTTCCACTGGGGCATCTCGATGACGACGACAACGACGTACTGCCGGTGTGCGCGTGTGTGGAGCCCTCAGTGCTGCTGCTGGACTTAGCTTCCGATCCGATGTGATTTCCGTTGCGCGCTGCTCGAGTTTTTACTGGTGGTGCCAAAATTGAAACGGAGGACCTGATTGCTCTCTCTCTCTCTCTCTCTCTCTCTCTCTCTCTCTTCACTCAAAGCAAACGGGGAGAAACGGGAGGGTGCCTCGGAGGCTGGTGGTGTGGGGTGAGGGGTGGGAAAGGGAGGGGAGCGGGGGGAGGGGGGCCACTGACTGCGCTACAAGTTAATCCTCGCATTGTACCGCCGAGTGCTTGTCTAACTACGCGTGCGATATCACTCTCCCCTCCGAGCTTTATTTGGGGTGCGCAGAGGGGTTGCAGGGGAGAAGGTGGCTCGGGTGGAGGAAGGGGAGGACGAAGTTTGGTGCTGGAGGGGAGGCGCAGTGGCAGGAGTAGTGTCTCGGCATGGCTGTGCTGCGTAAGTGAACGCAAAGGCTGGGGCACAGAGTTTTGATGCCCAGTGGAAGGGAGGGTGAGACCAAGTGGTCAAGGTTTGACGTCGGTACAGTCTTTGAGGCTTTTAGTTCGTGCGTCAAGTCGAGTTCTCAAGTTCCAAGTTCTCTGGAGTAGCCATACGCACTCATTCTTTTGCGAACGTATAACGAGATCCACATCATCCCCTACATCATTATATTTTTAAGGGGGATAAATCATAAATCTAGAAGCACAAAGCAGTGCTCTAGACAAATGAGTTGGCAGACAAAGGAGGATGGATGATAAGACAGTGAAGGCAGATAGGCCCCTGCTCCGCCCATCCCATCACCGAGCTGCGAACTAATCCCACCCCTTAGTTGTCCGCCATATTACGCCCACTATCTTCCCCACCCTCCCTTTCTCAACCTCCCCGCACCGCCCCTACAAAGGCAGCCATTTCACTAATTGTGAACATAATTACCATTCTCTGCTTTCAGCAATTTAAGCCCTAAACGACAGTCCTAAATTGCTCCGTTATTGTTCCAGCGGCGAAACTTTGCTCGGCTCCGGGTCTCCTCTAGGCTTCCCTCTCGCCCGCACCTTCCGCTCTCCTGTTCGCGCTCCTCTATCGCTGTCTTCCTCTCCTGCTCCTCCCCCGTTCGCCCCCGGCCGAGGCTCGTTGGGGAGGCTCGGCGCGGCCCAGCCCAGCACAGCTTCCGTGTGCAGGACGGCGGTAATTGAAACACCGAACAGTCAATACCCTCGGTCAAGGCCCTTCCCTATCCAGCGCCTCCTCTGCCTGACAAGACAGCCAACACAGCCCTTCACTAGCGCAGCACGCGAACCGAGAGAGGGAGAGGGAGAGAGAGTACAACACGGATTTAGGATCACACTGGAAAAACAAAGGTGCTAAATGTGCTATATAAAAGTATTACTGCACTAATGCCTTTGTAAATGCACTGACATTGCCGTAAATAGCACCTTTGTTAAGGCACTAATTCACTAACGCCTCTAAAAAGGCATTCGCCAGCGATAGCACCTGTTCTTTCAGCGCAATACTGACATCTCTTTCTTCAAATTTGTCTGAGTTACATAACACCTTAAAATTGTTAAGCAATAATAGTAACCATCCCCAGTCATCGATAGAAATTAAATAATCAATAAAGTATTTCTAGCTGATTCAAAAATGTTTCCAACCATCGTATGATATAACCTTACGACTGTATACATCAGTGTGCGATTTTGTCTCCACACTGGAAGCAAAACGTTTTCGCCGACATAATTAGTCATGATCCTCTCTCTCCTCCCATTCTGCTCCTCTGCTCGGGCCGGCCGGGCCCGGCACCTATCTTAATGACTCTCCACCCTCATTATCACATTAGACCCGGCGCTAAAGGCGCTGGCACGGCGCTAGAAAGGCTCCCCCTCCCTTCCCTTTTGCCGCGACTCGTGCTACCCTGAGCAATTTGCGTGCACTTGATTAAATTGTAAATGTCGTGGCGTTTTTTCTGCCTCTCCTTTTTTTTCTCGGCACCACCCGTTTGCCAGCCTTCCGGCGAGCACCACCGCTACGTTTTCTTTTTCAGACTAATTTTACCTCCCTAAAAAGTAAGCATTTGCATGAGATAGGACGTCGAAAAGAAATACAGTAGCTAAAATTTCAGGCAATGCATGCCTACGTATCGTTTGCGTTTTGTACGAACGAGACGCGCGTGCGAAGGGCGTGGCGTGGCACCGTCGCCAATAGGAGAGAGATAGCAATTAAGCATAATTATGGAGCCGGATTAGCGCGGCGCTGATTGCTTCCAGGCGATAGGGCTTATCTGAGCGCCGCCGCCCCGCCGCCCGGCCGCCCCGCGCCGCACCCAGCCAGGCCGACTCACAATGCCATTTCCGCCGAGCGCGCCGGCTCACAGGTATAGCTCCGACGGGAATTAATTCCTCGCGAATATTATTCATTGAGCCGAAGAAACGAGCGGAAAATCTGAAACAAAATGTGCGGCGCGCGACGAGCTGGCGCAACACTCTGCGCGCCCCAAAGTGGAGGCTCGTTACTGCACGGTGCAGGAGGGACGGCATCGGGCGCATGCAAAACTGTTTGCACCGGAAGCCGGGAAAGAGCTTCCTGCTGCAGAATAAAGCAGACGACTTCGAGATATGCGAAAATAAACGCGAATATTACAGCCGCCTGGGAAGAAGTCTTTCCGAGCGCGAGCTTTCATGTGAAGGGCGAGAGAAGAGAGAGAGAGAGAGAGGGAGGGAGAGAGAGAGAGAGAGAGAGAGAGAGAGAGAGAGAGAGAGAGCTATTGGAAAATAATGACAGATCTCGCAGAGAAGGTGAGGAACAAGGGCTGCAGCGCCGCCATTCCACTGCTTGTAATTAACCCTCGCTTTATGATCTTAATGAGTCAATTCCGCGCCTCAGAACGGCTCGACTCGGCGCGGCGCGGCGCATAGTACGCCGGCGCCATCTTCGAATACCTCTCTAAGCGGCGCAGCTCGCTGCGGATTGGCTACGTGTTGAAATACACGTCAGGAAAAAGCCGAAGTGTTCGCGGTGAAACCCGGATGAAACCACCTCGTTCGTTGATGTTAATATTCGCGACTGCACCTAAACAGCATTGTGAACTGCAATGAAAATTAGCAATCTGACACATTCTGAGCCGGATTTACATTTTCGCCTGTCAGTCAACCCCCGGCCGCCGCCTCCTCGATAATAGAAATGTAGCATTATATCGCCGTCATCATTTTGTCGTGTTTGGTTTTATCGCAAGAAATGCGATGAATCATGTGGCAAAGGGCTTGATGATGTGCCAGCGGGGGGTGGCGGCGGGGGGCGCCCTATGCAGGCGGGGCGCCGTTAGGGGGATTGCTACCACAAGGCACGCCCCCAGCCCCCGGGCCTGTCCAACGCCCCGCACTCCAGGAGGGGAAGGCCGGGCCGGGCGCTGGAGGCTCGGCTGGAGGCTCGGCTGCTGTCGGCCGGGCGCCAGTTGGGCCCGCTGGCCACCCATTTCACGGGCCATCGCATCACAAAGGAGGGGCGGCAGTGTTAAACTGCAGAAAAATAACAACCGGGATGACTTATAAGCGCTCGTACTCGCCTCGTATCCTCGCTGCTGTTTCGGAGGAGGGATTCTGGGAAAATGCGAATAAGGCCCCGATAACTACTTTACCGGCTTCAATCAGAAAGACAGATCGTCTTCACATTCACGTTACTGTCCCGCTTTCAACCACAGCTCCTTAACTTATCATAATACGAACGAATGTGAGTTACTGAACTTGACAAAAAATGTTTGAGTAAAAGTTTAAGTCACCGATTTTGAAATGTTACCTATATTAATCGTGGCTACCTTGTAAAAAGGTTGGGTTGGGAGTTGAATAGCGAACTACTTACTCCCAAAACACCACAATAAAAGTTACAAGTTACTTAACTAACTTAACTTTTCCACTTGAAATAACTTCAAAGACAGTTGTTAAGTATTAAGTAAGGGAGCCCTTCTTTGACCTGTCCTCGCATGTGCGACGCGCCAGAAGTTTCTTTGTGCAGTGTAGGGCGCTGCGCGGTGCTGCGCGGTGCTGCGCGGCGCGGAGGGCTCGCAGTGTCAAGGGGGCGGCGAGGCGGCTCAATTCCGTATAATAGGGGCCGCCGGGGGTCTGCACTGCGCTACACCCCTCTCCGCCGCGCCACGCCACGCATGCGCAGAGCGTGCAAAAGCACAGCGTCTGACATTTGAATGCGTATCGGGCTGCACGGCCGGGCTGCTCGGCGTCTGCCCTGCCGTATTTGGTATTCTGGTCCGGAACGATCGTTCTTTGCAATTATTGCATTTTATTGGTTTCGTTCACGCGCGACAGACGGCAACATCCTTAGGATACTTTTCGCTCCGATTTGACTTTTCCAGTAAGACGGTAGTCGTGTGCTTGGCGTTTAAATATATCGTTGTTTTAAAGATCGTCGTTTTAAAATAGATTCAAAAGATACGGATTCATGTTTTTTCTTCTTTATTTTTATTTACTTTATAGGAAATCATACCGGATATAGTAGAATCCGTTTAATAGTCGAGCAGACGAAAACTTAATAACAACAACAATTAAATAAATTCAAAGCTGCAACATGTTTTTCTTATGAAATATGTACAAATACAACAAACAGGATCATAATATGCACTACACTACTCTATGCACGGTGGCCCACACATGAGGCCCCGGAACACTTGAAGCTGCAACTGCAACGCACGCGTGGCCTTGCCGGCAAATTTTCCTACCGTTACTAACCACAGTTCCTTCTCTTTAGCTAGTAGGCAAGCGTCCACACGCCTGCATGCGGTACAAGTATAACGGGGTGTGTGGCCGCCCTGTATTCTTTTGAAGGAACTTTACTTTCCTCAAACTACAAACAGAGGAGCTCGGAGCCATCCTTTTACAGGATTCTCCACTTATGCGCGATCAGTATGTTTCAGACACCTTTCTCCATGGTGAAGACAGGTGCAACAGTCCGTAATGTACCACACACGCTTTACACACTTCACTCAGGGCTGCGGCGATGGGGGCGCCGGTGCTGAGGCGGGCGCGGGGTGTGGCGAGGGCAGTGGCGAGGGTAGCGCGGGCGAGAGCGGGGCCCCCTGTGGAGCCGGGGGTGCCGCGCTCGAAGGGGCCGCGGGGGCCGCCAGGAGGTGCGCCATCGGGTGCCTCGCCAGCAGCGCGCCCAGCGGCAGTTGAGGAAGCATCTGCGAAGAACGGTACGGTAAGGTACTGTTCATGGTAAGGTTATGAAATAAGAGAGACAAAAAAAATTCCCGAAGAAAGAAACTTTAACAAAAACAAACCCTGGAAATATGTTCCAAAAATATTAAAAATGTGTAAATAATAAAATGAATCTTTAGAATACAATTTAAGTATCTACACCTCCCAGGAGGACAGGGGCTCCTCACCCACCTGGTGCTGGAAGAAGTGATGGCCTGGCGAAACAAACAGGGGGTGCGACCTGGAGGCCGCCACAGCGGCCATCTTGATCTTCTCCAGCTCGGCCTCTTGGAGGCGCTTCGCCTTGGCGCGACGGTTCTGGAACCATATCTTGACCTGCGTCTCGGTCAGCTGCAGCGATGAGGAGAACTCGGCCCGCTCCGCGATCGACAGGTACTGCTTCTCCCTGAACTTCTTCTCGAGCGAGAGCAGCTGCTGCGTGGTGAAGGGTGTGCGCGGCTTGCGGTTGGGCTTGTGCTTGCGCAGACTGCAGCGTAGTTTGGCCGGTCCTGGTACATCACCGCCTGCAACACAAGTAATAGACAACATTAAGAAACTTACAATATTCCAGTTGTTTAAAATAATTTAAATTATTTCAGTGTTGGTTGTTTTGAATGATTTAAAAAAACGTCAAAATAATACACAAGATTGAGTTTGATGATGCTTTTTATATTTTTGTATCGTCGTCCCATCTATAGGGATGTTTCTCCCGAAAAATTACCCGCTTAACTTATTTAGGCCTTCTGCGTAGGCCCTGGCTGGCTGCACATGTCAGAAGTGCATCCTGGACGCTTGCGATTATTTGCAGCCGACTTATAAAATAAAAATCACTGCATCTGATCGACTATGCATACAGGTGTGTGTGTAGGGGGGGGGGGGCGTATGTGCACACGCACGTACCTGCCTGCATGCCCCAGAAAGCGTGTCTCACCGTTCCCGAAACGTTACATTTTAAATTTTATTCAAATGACGACGCTTTGTTTTGATATTGTTTTGGTGCGGGCGCGCAGCTACCGCGGGGCGGGCAGGGCGCTCGCGTGACAGCGAATCATATAACCCGGGCGTGTAACACAGTGTCTGGGTCCCAGCCGGGTCAGACGGGCGGGTGGCGGTGCTGCCCCTTGCCGCTGCCCCTGCACCCCGCGGCGGCGAGCCAGCAAACGAGCTCCAAAGTGATACGAGACACTCGTCGAGACCCTACTGTCTGCGCAGAGGTTATTGCACTTTAGCCATCAGCTCCACCTCCTGTGAAAAGCAATGGTATGGAAACCATAACGTAGGTTTATTTTCACTGAATACCTTCAATGTATTGGCGCGCGCCTGACATGGATGGACGTGTGAACACTGTCTCCTACATAACACTGATATATAAAGTGTGCAACTGATACACACTTTAAGGTGTTTAACACCGTGTGGCACACTTCTATGTGTGCAACATGAGTTTTGAATAGTTGGAAGTGTTCAACAGGTGTGTTGCACACTTTTTAGTGTTCAACTTGAGCGTTGAGCTAGTGCTCGTCGGTCAGGTTGAACATTTAAAAGTGTGCAACACACCCGTTGAACACTTCCAACTATTCAAAACTCGTGTTGCACACATAGAAGTATGCCACACGGTGTTAAACACCTTAAAGTGTGTGTCAGTTGCACACTTTATATATCAGTGAAATAGAGAGGTTTTTTAGTAAATAACGCAAATATACTGCATTGTACACCCTTGGGTTTCCAGGGTGTGCGCGGATACCCGGCGGCGGCACGTGGTGCGAGAGCCGCCGCGGGGGTCGCCGATGAAACCGTCAGCAGTAGTGTTGCCCCAACCGTCCCGGATGGAGACTTAGACGCAAGGCGACACTGGGCGGGCGCGTCAACTTGCAAATGAAGCGAATATAACGAAATGCTAAGTGGCCACAAAGGGAGACAGCTTTGTTGCTACCGTGCGACACACAGGTGCGCGGCCCGGCGGCCCCCCGGCCCCCCGCCGCACACACAGGTGCACGGAATAAAAACGATCATTACGGTAACGCAGCGGGCAGCGCCGCCAAAGTTATTCCAAGCACCGGCCGGACCGGACGGTATCGAGTAATCCCCACCCCT